GGTGAGCTGCAGATTCAGGTTGGTCAGGACACCGCTGCTCTTGGAGCCAAAGGAGGTGAAGGACTGGATATCTTCCAAATCTGGCAAGACACAAGTTTAAAAACATGTACAAAACACAGATCAAACATTTGAGAATAGATGTTGAAGCTGTCCACGTCTTCATATCAGCAAGGAAGTCTTTGGCTATAAAATGAACAACAGAATCCTTAAAGGTAACTTTCAGATCACAGTTTTGTTGAACAAAGGATATTGACTGAAGAACTGACTCAAATCTGCAAAACATACAATACTGTACCAAACTATCTATTAGATAAACCAGCCAAGCCCTATGTTTAATATTACTAGCCCTGCAGCCATACATTGACAACACAAGCAATATCAGTACTGTACCAAAACCGAGAAACAGCAATCAAGGACTGCATAGGAAGGACTACATGTACATGTATTTCAAATTATAACAGATACATTACAGGAAATCTGTGGTTCATCTTATTTAGAAGTGGAAATTGTGATGCTAAAATTTATAACTACAGGTCTCTTTGAGACAATTGATTTCATGCTCTTCCCACATGGCACTTTTCCAACATCCATTTCTTTTAATCTTCTACTCACACAGTACTTTTCAAATTGCCACTTCCCTAATGTTCTACTCACATGGTGCTGTTCCAACTGCCACCCAGTAGTTCTTGATACCACTCTGACCATCTGCAGCCAGCCAGGATGCCTGGATTGTGGAGCGACTGTTCTGGTACAAGTAGCCATTGAAGATTTCTTCAGCCTCCCCATCCAGGTTTCCACCGTAGATGTATCTCATCTATTACGGTAGCCAGCAATTTTGGACATATTTTTCAAAGGAGAAAGTCATGTTATATGTATGGTCACCATGATAATGATATACATGTATGACTAACAAATGTTTATGAGTGCAATGTTATGGATAATTTCATAACATTCAAGGCATGGACTGTTCTGCAGCCAATTCCACAAAGTGCAGCATAACATTGAACCATATGAAGGATTACGCCACAACTTTCTGGTATAGCTGTGTAATGTAATTCTGATCAATTTCACAAAAAGTTGCTTTGCTGCACAATGTATTGATAATATTGAATTTCTTGGACAAGGACGACCACAGCTTCTGCAACAACTGTTCCATTTCGACATAACAGTCACTAGATTAGCTCTGCCCGCCAATTGAAATATTTTTGCCTTTCCTTTGTCAGAAATGAGTAAAAAATTACAAAGTTCTCTCACATTCAATGACACTTTTATTACCTTAAAAAAGTTTTACATTACTTGTATAAAACTTTTAAGTTGAGCAGTGTTGAGCCTTAACTGAACATGAATTGCTGGTCAAGCCCTTTGTGTCTGATTTGTTTGGCATAACTTACATTACCTAAAATGATAACACGAGTTACCCACAATTTGTTGCACAAGTTGCAAAATTGAATACGCAGTGGTACCTTTGGTGAAATGTGTCGTAATTTGTTGCTTAACTTCCACAATAACATGAGGCATAAGTGAAGTTACGCCAGTTGTTTAAAGTTTCATGAATTGGCTTGCAGGTGCTGACTGATATTTCCCCATTTTCGTCAGCTCCTGAATCTAAATCTCTGCTGGCTGTGTCCAAGATTGAGACTCACCACAGGAGGGCTGGGATCCACCATGATGCCACTGGTTTCATGAGAAGCAACCAGCTTGGCTTGATTCTTGGCTTTGACTTGTGTCACATAGAGAGCTCCAGGACGCAGCGTCAGACCACTTTGGACATGGGACCGAGTTGCGATATCAGAGATCAACTCAAAGCTCCTGGGGTTTGCATCTAAACATCAGGAAAGGAAACAACACGCACATCAGTATACAATCCTAAATCTAGGCAGCTTTGGTGTCAGTGAACGCCAGAGAGGGATGGTATGGCATTCATTTTGACTAAACTGTTAGAGCAGGGTGTAAGAACCACAACATACCCATAGGGAAGATCTTGCGTTTGTTCCCATGTCGAATCTCGTAGATGGCCAACTGGAACGATTCAATGCCAGACTCGTCATCAAAGTAGTTCCAGTGAACAGCAAGACTATCTGAATGGGACTGCAGGAGGGGAGAAAAGCATCCAAGGCTTACATTACACTATAATGTACTCAGGCTAGAATAAAAGCCACACCAGCAAATAACAAAAGCACCATCGCTGTGAGGTTGTAAACTCTGTGTCCACATTGCCATGGTTTTGAATGTCACAGCAATATAGACTTTTAAATGTCTTGGGGACGCTATTTATGTGATGTAAGGTTTAAACAAATGAGATGGTCACATCTTTGAAACATTACAAACTAACATCACCAGCTGAGCCTGCATGGTCTCACCTGGAAGTCAGCATCTTCTCCAACCACCAACCCATCTCCCAGGGCTTGGACCACTGGAAGGGTCAGGTCTACCAAGAAGCCATTGGTAGGGGTACCAATTGTGATTTACAGCCTGTACTCACCTGGAAGTCAGCATCTTCTCCAACCACCAGCCCATCTCCTAGGGCCTGCAGCACTGGAGGGGTCAGGTCTACAATAAAGCCATCGGTAGGGGTGTCAATGTGATTCAGAGCCTGGTTGACAGTGCGTAGGTTGACATAAACCTGGTCCTTGTGATGGAGGTGGAAGTGATGCCACTCAATGGAGGATGTAGCAATACTTACTGATTCTGCCTCATGGATGACCTCAAAGTCAGTTGAGCCATTGGAGCTAAATATTGTGAAATCACTGAACATTTTCATCACACTAGACACATCATTTCAAACTGATTTATCATCTCTCATTGAGGCTTAGTTGTTTGGCAAAAACATTCTGTCAAAATTTACCAAATAATTATTTGTAAATATGGAGTGTGATTCCGTTAGTTCCACTAAAATTGTTACATTCAAAATCTAAAGTATAAGGCAAAAATATGCAATTAACAATACAACTATTACTTTGAAATTATTTTGAAGTTCCAACTAAATGAATCCCAAATATACATGTACCTGCGATAGACTGTGATTTGATAGTCTTTGATACCAGACTCTGGATCAGAGAATCCATGCCACTGAGCTTCCACAGTGGCCGGCCTTGAGGAGAAGTCTAGGTCAGTAGTTCCTGCAAGTGGGTGGTCCCAGACACTTCCTTGCATCGGTGGAGTGAGATCCACAGTCACTAATGTGAGGATAGAAGAGCAAGGTATCAAGACATGATCCAGATGTTTGCATCTACAGTGAATGCGATTGTTACAAAGGCGGGGGGGTGTAAGATGCGCACTTTAAGAGAAATTCTGCCACTTCTACCCATGACGATGATATTGAAGTGAGAAAGGATCCATGTATTGATAAAATAACAATAATTACATAACTGAGATCACAAGAGCAACAACAATAACAGGGATGATTAGTGGTGAGGAATGTTCATTGATGGCAATAACAATGACAACAATGTGGTAATGTAGAGGTCATGGAAATTGCCCCCCCCTTTTTTAATTGTTGGTTAACTTTCCCCCTTCCTATAATGCATCGACCCAGAATTGTTCTCCCGTGTAACATAATGGACTTGACCAAAAGTGCCACATCAGCAGGGACAGGAAGTTGCCTTCATTGTTTCTCATGCAATGTTCAAGGCAACATCATCTTCATTAAAGTCACAAGCTTTCCTGTATTCCTGACTGGTGTATTTCCATTATTTTTACAGGACTGCGTATCACATCATATTTTAATGTAACACCTACACCTGTATGCCCTTCGGTCATACACGGGTGTAACAGTAATGAGTGCATAAAGATGTGTACAGTCATGTTTGTCTGCTAGAGCATTAATATACTGAAGAAGTAGCACCTCTAAACCCTCAATGATGAGAGGCACACCCTTCAGTGTATCTGAAGAAGTAGCTGTGGATATCAAAGCTTGATCAGTCCGTCTTTCAAGATGCTATCTCTTTAGAATAGAGATGAGTGCGGTAATCATGGTCATTTTGAAGAGAATGACGGTAATGATTCTGATCAATGACCATAATAATCATATCGGTGACTACATTGGTGATGATGCCTGCAATAGTAACATTGACAACTACCTCCATTGGATGAAGCTGTCACATTGAGCTTATCATATCCACCATGGAAGGCTACGAGTGTGGAGTAATACATCTCTCCGTGCTGCAGGGTCACATAGTCAGAGCAGGCAGTGTGCTCTCGATGAGACACTTTGATGTAGTTTACCACGTTACTAAGGCCAGGCTGGGTTCCCACTGCCCACAGATATGAGGAGATCCCAGACTCGGGGTCATGCCAATTATGCCAGTTGGCACAAATCTAATGAATTAACAGAAAAACCAATGGAATCACAGACTGCTCCAACAGTTACCGAATATTAACTACTGTTGCTTATTGTAGTTTCATGGAAAGAAACAGCCTAATGAAGCCAAATTTGCCAGCATATGCAATGCTCAGATTTGTCATAATTTGGGTTTAAAACCACTACTTGACTGATGAAGCATGAATCCGTTTACTTCATTTCTGTCTTTGGTAAATGTGAGATCTCGTCCAGCATACGGCCCATCAAACAAGTCTCCAGGAATTGGTGGGGAATCATCAACAAGAATGGGCTCGTCAGCATGGCCTACAGTCCGTAGGTCGACTGAAATAAAGCAGAGAGATGTGTGGTCATATGTTCACAGCTGCCAATTTTCTTTTATCTGACTCATGAAAAATAAGTGGAAAAACAAATAAATCTGGGAATATTGCTCATTTAAAAAACATATCCTTGGAATTTTAGCACTTTTATTTACAAGCACTTCAATACCATTTCCCGTTTTGCTTTTAGACTTGGATATTTTCCTTCAAATATTAGCAAAAGGTAGAAGTTAAATGCAACTCAACTTGTGCATATTAAATTTGGAGATGGACATGAAAGCTTTGAATGCTTGACTCCCATTCTTCTGAGTGAGCTATCCACCCTGACTAGGAATAAGAGGGGATGTGTTCCAACTTGTTCAGGGGTAATTGGTGTGGTTCAGGTGTTCTGTGTGGGACTTGCAGAAAACACTTGACCAATATCTGTTTGAATTTATACATTCTTTGTGTGTGCACCTGGTGTGAGCACAAGCAAGGATGACAAGCTGTCCACCAGTCTGCCTATCCTTTGCTGGTGAGGGTGCCCTTCAACATGGGCCATATAGGCATGAACCACAGTTCCCAAACTGCAGAACAAGAGATCAGCATATTTTCATAAACCCCATGATGTTGCTGCAGCTCAACTACTGGCCCTGGATCCCATTAAGCTTCTCAGCATTCTTACCATTGTTGACTGCTCTGACTTTCACCCAGCACGGTACACCATTCGGTATCTTGAAGTCCATGAAAAGCTCTTCAGCCAACACGTGAGCCTCCCAGTCCCGCAGTGATTTATCTCTACGGGTCTTGCCTGCTGCCAGATGATACTCAAGTAAATGGGACTCAGGATCACTGTTTATGACAGAGATTTCTGATTAAAGAGTGCTGTACATGGTGGGATGTGAAACAGGCCTGCAGTGTGCTGTGCAGAATGCTCCAAAGTACAGTCATTTAAATCCAAGGCTTCAATTTGGTCTCAGGATCCAGAGTTAGTTTCATATTGCACGGTTTTTGTGGGTTTATGATAGAAACATGTTTGGCAGCATTGTGCTGTAAGACCGTAACTCCATGAACTTGGTGATCTATGTTCAGCAGAAACTGAACCCTAAAGCCACTTGAAGAAACAGACAATATAATATACAAATACTCACGTTGCATTGACTCTCATTCCAATTCTGCCAGTGGTGGAGTCATACGTGATGTGGTGGACGCTGTAAATGATGGGCGGAGTCTTGTCGATAATGAGTGGGGTGCTGTGGCACACAGTGAGTGCCATGGGACCGCCAAACTCCACTTTGTTGAGAGCACGCACCGAGATATAGTATGCACCATCTGTTGAACAAATATGTGTATTTATATTCCCTGCAGACACTTTCAAGACCTCACTTCGCCACTGTACACATGGCAAGCCACTTTAAAAGCTAAACATGTTTGTAACAAATACGACGGGAGAACTGGCTGAAGAAGAGAAAGTAACAAAATAAAACCAAACTATAGCTTACATTTATTTTCTATGAACTGCAAATTTACCAGGTTTTTTTTTTAAAGAAACTTAGGAAGACCATTTACAATTTATTTTGCTGGTTCACAGCTTCTAACGGAAAGAAAAGCCCAGCCATACTGTTCATATGGGTTGGTATCTATATCTCTAGGATGTTTGAAATAGTGTGGTATAGTTTTACCTGGAAGATGGATGTTGACAACGAGTCCCTGGTGGGTCCACTCCGACTCGTCAAACAGGTGAGCATGAGGGTCAACATGCCTGCTGATATCATCGGCACAGATGCCACTACCAATGGACCAGGTGTAGCCATGGATACCGGTTTCATTATCATGGATACCATCCCAGTTAGCTGCAAATAAATTCATATGTCACACATTAACAAATAAACCATTAGATATGCCAGAATGGCAGTAGGACTAAAGTCTAGTGCATTTTTAAAATAGAGGCCTGCACAACAATGCCCGAACCTATGGTTTTACAACCAATCACAGCTGTGATTTATTCCACATACATGCGCACCAGACTGATGTGTGAACATGTGTATGTCTGGAAAACAAACTATGCTGTAAGCCAAAGTAAGACAGTGTGCATAGCCTTGCAAGTTGATAAAACGACCCAACATTCCTATGCCCACCCAATCACTACTTATTGACCCTCGATTCTTCTCTCTTGGCCCAATCACCTGAGGGCAGGAAAACCTTAAGATCCAAAGTTCTGAATTGGACAAGTGAGCTTGTAATGCTGAGACACATGGATGCGAAGAAACTCTTGAATCGCTCGATTTTGTTGTGCAGTGGACAGATATTAATAACTTCAGAACAACCACCTATAGGTTGCCTTCCTCCAAGAAAAAAAAAATCGAAACAAACAAACAGAACAATACAAGAACTCAAACAGAAAGTGAAAATGGGCTTCAATTTTATGTGTCTTGTTGCAAAGTTGTAATTTTCCTAATGATTTAAAAGTAAGCGTATTTGTCACCATTATCCTTAGCAGTTTTGTTACTATTCTCCAGATTAGTCCACCCTGCTTCATATGAATCCGGAATCCCTACCCACTCTTACCTGCAATGAAGGTATTACTTCTTGTATACAGCATGTCAACATGTTCCTCATTACCATTGAATACGGTCAGAGACCCAGGACCATCAATGATATAACTGAGGTCAAATAATGAAAGGTAATTGTAGTTAGTTTTTCCTTAATTAATAAACCAAAAACCACATAATTCAACAAGCCGTAACACTCACCATTAAACAGTTTGGGGCTTTTATCATCGATTCATAAATACCTCAGTTGATTTACCCATTTTACTGGTTGAGAGCTTGTAATGAGGGCGTATTTTGATGGATGGTAACAATGCTAACCAGCTTTAAACACTTTCTGGGTTTCGTATGAAATTGTGACTCTTAGACTGTAAAACTCATCTTCAGGTAGGCAGGTACAGTACAATCTACATGTATGTGTCCACATTTCACAGAGTTGAAATTTTCATATCGGGCTTTGTGCACCAAATTTTCATACCAAGAGATTTTAACACAGCACAGAAGAGGTACATACCACGTACTATAAGGCTGGCATGGCATTTTACAGAACAGCATACAAACAGCATGGTGTACAATATAGTATTGATCAGCCACATGAAAACAAAGTTCAAATTCTAGACAGCACATAGGCACTTGCAACTTCATGAAGATTCATGAAGATTTCAAGTGAATCATTGTAATATTGGAATGTGTCTATTCCACTGACCCGACTTCACTGCTATCTGCACCCTGTCCACGATGCATCTGGAAAATACTGTCAATGAGTAGCCACATCATTGAAACAAAAGGGCATTTTAAGGCAATGATTCCTACCGATGGTTGTCCAGCGGTGTGTCTTCAATGCATCGTCTCTCCCACTCCTCTGGAGTGAACTCTACACATGGTTCATGCACCAATTCCTCCCTGATCCCGTTCATGATCAACCCTGGTGCAGGAGGTGTGAAGTCCGCAATGATGCCGACTGATGAGATGATGTTCTCATAGCCAACGTAGTTGAGGAGCTCTATGTTGAAGTAGTAGAGGTTGTTGTGGACAAGTTGGAGCGATTCATGACTAAACTCGACGGCATGGCCCACACCGAGACGCTCATAGTGGGAGAAGAATCCAGACTGAAACGCAGCACACAGGTAAATCTGATTATCATCTAGAGTGTATTATTTCCAAGGATGGCTTTACGCCAGGGAGAGGTTAATTAATTTTGGATTTTTGCCCTGCCCGACGTGTGTTATAACACTGCATACTCTGTGTTTGCCCTGCAGGCTTGTGAAAAAGCTGCAAGTGCACTTGGGTGGGTCTTGGGTAGCTCGGTGGTTGAGCGGTTAAGATGTCTGCAGCAGTAAGCAAGAAGTCGTGGGTTCGAGTCCCACTCGAGTGCGCTTGTGGTTTTTTCACAAGCCTAGCGTGTGGGTCTTATTTCCCAAAGCTGCAGGCATAATGCAATGTGAAGGTGGTGAAACTTTCTTTTGTACCTTGTGAACTTCGACCCCATGACCCTCAATCTCGTCCAACAGTTCACAGGTGAAGTCCCCATAGTTGTAGTTGATACTCAGGCATTTGGTCTCCGGGAGGGCTAGGCAGTCCCGTGCACATAAGTTGGGGTTGCGGTGGATGATGGTTGATATTGGTTTGGAAATCAGCCTGCCTTCCTTGGCAGCAGTGAAATACTGGAAGTCATTGGCTGTACAACAAGTATAGTACACGTATTAGTTTAAAGTTAAGAAAAAAGTCCACGGGCCATCATGAAAAATGTTTCCAGTTTTTGGTAAACCAACCATCTGTAAAAATGATGTGTTGAGGGGCAAATTTTATCAACATAATGAGCCAAAAAAATTATTTTACTTTTTAAGTTGCCACCTAGAAAAGAAAACAAAAGCTAAAATGAAAATGTATATGTGAAAAGGCATTCAACTACACGTAGGTAGATGGTTTCCAGCCACCTTGATGTCAGAAATGATTATAAAATTATTTCCATGTTGATGAAGCAACTCGAATTCAGAAGCACTACTCACAACCCATTGTTCACAAACATGGCCTACATATTGAACCAAATGGTGAAATACACAGTATAGGCCTGTACTGGTTGGTGCTATTAAGGGCAACAATGGAAAGAATGGGTGCCACTGGACCCTCTACACGACAAAAAGTATGTGTACATGTCTGATAGTCGACTTGACCAAATTATTGTTAGGATGCAAAACTACCGTTGAAAACCAATCATCCAAATCTTTTATAAAGACTTCTGTGAGCTTAATCACAAAGCCTGATTTCTCGTTTCTGTTCGCACATTCTGTTTTCCAAACAAGGATTGATAATTATCAGAGATGTGAACCAGCATGGTGAGATTTACTGTATGACTGTTGATGGGTGGTCACAGTGGTAGTCCACCATGACACCCGCAATTGGGACCACCATATTGGCAATTATCCATTCATGAGTAAGACTTCAGTGTTCCTTCATTTTTAAGTAATTATCAGCATTCCAAACTATAATTCTTTTAAAACGAAAATAAATTTTAATTAAATAATGTTAGGCTCTACAATTACTTTTTTGATGATTTCTGTGGAACAAAAGAATTCGGCAACGGCAAAAGGCAAAGTTCAGAATGTCAGCATTTGCTATAGTGAGGCTCTACTGCATTGATCTCATATTAGATCAAAGTTTTTTCAAAAACTTTTATCCTGCCTACCATCCCAAGTTTTTTGGATGTTGCTACCGGAAACAAATACATTACATCTGTTGGTCTGGAAACAGTTTCCGTTGCATGAACATTAATGAAACAAAAGGTTCAAAGATTACATGCTCATTTTCGAGAAGCAGTGGCTAAAAAATGTTATCACTGTTTCTGTTAAGTTTATATAATGACAATTGATGTGCCACGGTATCTTCCGTTTCAAAGAAAAAAAAGAGCTTTGCACATGTGATTGCTGCCTAGCTTTCAATGTCAAATCAGAAACCCAACATCCGCAGCGCTGTAGGGCACTGTGAAGTGATTTAAGTAACTTTGAAAGAAGCAAATCAAACCAGCTTACACAAAACTTCTTGATAATGCCTCTTTGTGATGTTAATGGTATGCCATGGCACGATCTGGTCTCCCCAGATGTCAGGACCAAACCCGACGCCTTCCTTTTGCACCAAGATGACCGAGTCATCGAACACCACTGCCGAGGCGCGCAGTACGTGCGGGTGGCTGGTGGAGGTGAAGTCTGGCGTGATGCGGCCTGTCGGGAGGGTGACATCAAAGGTTGGGAGGCTGCAGGTTGCCGTGGAGATGCCTCCCCCGTTGTTCATTGCATAAACAGTGAAGTAGAGAGGATGCCCACCGAGAAGAGTCTTTGAAAACAATAATATGACTTTTTTCAAATTGGATACTAACATTGTTATTTGGAAAACCATTTGGAATATTTGAAAAGTTCATCATTCATCAGTTATCATTTAAACAATCAAACCCCAAAGTGGAAACATCCCTAAATCTTGAGTTTTTCCTCATCTTTCCTAGTCCACAAACCACAGGGAGACACTGCACAACAGAAAAATGCTAACAGGGATTTTGTTTTCTCTGTGTACTTTTTCTTTGCTAGGATCATTATTTTCAGTGTGACAACAGAAACCACACCTTTTCAAGCATCTCAAGTTTTAAGTTCATGAAAACAGCCTTGCACTGCCCCACACCGATTCACTCCAATTTGTTTCATCTTTGCAATTTTATTGTTACTCAAATTAATTAATTTCTAGTTTATATTAAACCTATTCTCGCTGTCTGCAGTTCCAGCATTTCTTAACCTTATTTTACAGTGACAATACCTTCCTCTGGCACTGTTTACTAAGGAAATAAAATAGTTCTTTGTAACTGTAACTAAACAATGCAATTAAAATCAAGATTTAAAAACTAATCTTGATTTCTGATTTCCAATACATCCCCGAAAACAGCTCTTTAGAGCTTCCTGATTAATAAATCCTACTCTCAGATCTTCCTGCAAATGCAAGAACGCCCTGTTTTGATTTCATTTTTCATTTCTTCAGCCAAGTCAATTCCTTACCTGTGTGATGATAGCTGAGGGTCCGCCAAACTCCGTCTTGGAGACCACATCACCGGCTCCAGGTGCTGTCCCAACCTGGTAGTGAAATGTAACCAGGCTCTTGTCGTCGAATGCTGCCACCTCAAGCTGGAAGGCTGGTGATGTATAGTCTAATCCTGGAACCTGTTCAACACTGCAAGCTTTCCTCCCCACTACTCTCATTGGGATTCCATCCTTCAGACAACCAAAATGAAAATCCAACAAAGCAATGTACAAGTCTCTCAAATCACTGGGTGCCTTTTGAACAATAGAAGCATTCAAACATGCACAAAAGTACTAGAATGTAGCTATTAAATTGAGCAATGTGGTCATAAACCTCAAATAGTATCAGACAAAAAGATGATGAGGATTTACAGGTTGTAAATGTGAATAAAACTGACACACAAAGCTTTGTCTTATGGCTGTGGGCAAATAATGGAGGATGCAGTGGTCAGTTCTCCTAAGCTGAAAGCGATTTCCACATTTCCAGGATTAGAGGATTAAGGTGTCCTCTGAACCAATTGACAGCACTGATAGTTTCTTTCATGCAAAGTTGTATCCATATCCCCAGAAGACTCATGACTAGCACTTTTTATGATGAGAAAAAAACTACCTCGGTAGGTAAAGTTAAATCTAAAATGGGCAAGACTCCACATTCAGAGTCTCCTATGAGAGGCCACATTTAGAGCAATTTGAGTGATCAGAGTTTTGGAATGACCTTGGCATGCTGGGGCTTTCTATTTCTGGCCACATCAATGTTGACATACAATCAGGAACGCTACATAAAAAAGAGATTTATTTTTGAGTTAGCATAAGAAACAATCCAAAACAATATGGCAGACAAATTTCAAGGTTTTACCGGCGGTGTTGAGTACTGTTCAATCTCTGGGGGAGATGTGTCAGGCTCCTTGGAGTGGAAGTCAAAGATGGTTTGGTGAACTGCAGGAGCTTCCCAGCGATATAAGTTGGCCTTGAAAAGAACCGTCTTCCCAAAGAATGGAATTTTCAGAGTAACCAAAGCTCGCAGACGAATTCTCAGGGGAATCATTTCTATGTCCATCTTTGTTCTGAAAATGTAAAGGATGGAGAGGTTTTCCTCAGGACGACATGGTTTGGCTCAGTCCAGTTGTAAACGTAATACATGTAGTTAAAAAAACTGCCCCATCACACTTGTATACCATTGATAAAAACAAGCCCAAACCAAACCCATTCAGCCCAAGCCCCAACCTTGATTGGACTTGATTATGTAGTGCATTAAGAAGTAAAATGTCTTTGGTTAGGTCCACATTCCCAAGGCCCTCATATCCAATTTCAACCATACTAGTCTACAATGGCCCCATTACACTATCTGCCCTGAGAAACAGCACCCCCTCATTGGTTGATAAGAGCCATGTTGGAGGGGAATGTTCATTCTGTTGGAGCAACATGACCATAACAAGCACATTTTACAGTCATTTGTGAACCCACCAAGTGCAGTTCCAACCACAGGAGCCTCTCCACTGCTAAAAAAATTGCACCCTCTCTTGGTCCAGCTTGGGGCTCATTATTTCCTCGATGAAAACAAAACCACTCCAAACCACAACCACCCAGTAAAAACAAGTGCCTGCCCTAAATTTGACTTGATTGGACTCAGTTTGTGGATCTGGACTGAAATGCAATTTAAGACTGGTGGGTGAAAATGCTTATCAACCACTTACTGAGCATGGCAATTATAAAATCCAAAATGTCTGTAAAAATGCAATCCAAATCTCAGAATTATGGAGTGAGCCAGAAGCCACAATTAATAGAAGCACTCTAGAATTAATACTACTGGGGCTTGTGTTTTAACCCTTGACATGAGTATGTGTTTAAGACTATGGCATTAAAATGTTGAGGGCCAAGCTACTTGATGATTGTTATGGTCATGAATCATACATAATTAAACAGTTTCTACACGACCGCTGAAATCAGCTTTGCTACTGGTTTTAGTTTCACTGTTAATGACCAAAGTTTGCAATCTCCGTGACATGGAATTTACCACAAAAGATGTAAGAAAATTTGGACCATTCGGAAAAGGTTTGAAAGTCAGAGAGGCTTAATACATTAGTCATGTTTCCCATGGGTTGTATTAATGAGACAGGCATTTCATGACGCCAGTCACCTTGTCTCAATTGCCATATCAATTGAGTGCTAAAGAAGTGTGAGTGAAAAGTTCTGTATAATGAAGTCCCTTAACCTGATGTTTCCCTTGACTTTCCACATGCAGTGTTGCCAAACTTCTTTGTTAAAAACTTTCAAATTGATAGATTTAACTACTGGTACTATTACTTACATAATGCATGCCGTTTCATCCAAAATTCCAAAATAGTGGTACTCGGATGTTGGACATTATTTAGGCTAAGTGTTCCCTGAAATGGCACACTTGAGAACATCTCAGATAATCTCATGGTAACATTAAATTTCTTCAAAGTTGATAAATTTTATTGTTAAATGCCTTAGACAGTTTCCCTACTCAACAACGTGCAACATGACCATGTATTTAATGCCCCACTCCAATTCGATAATGCCTGCAGTGTAGAAAATGCGCTGGCACCTGGATACGAGACAGTTTAATCCATTCCCATTGGTCAAGAGTCTGTGTGCAGCACAGCACGCAGAACTTGCAACATGTGCATCAAGTCCACATAAGGAGATTCCTCTGGACTACTTGCACTAGGATTATACCATAAAATGGCAAAGTTGTATTCGAGTCCATCACAAGTCCTTTCACAAGTCCCTTCACAGGGTCAATCATAACAGGGTGAACAATGACAAAAGAATGCTTCTGGCACAGCTCATTCGAATAGCTTGTGAATTGGCTTAAGACTGAACGCTTGTGATGGACTTGTGATGGACTTACAGGGACTTGCAGGGACTTATATGATGGACTCGAATACAACACTTAAAATGGGGTGTTTGGGAATATGAAAGTTAAATTCTTGAACAAAATCCTTGCAAATTTATCATCTATTGTCTTCTTTGACTGTCTGACAAAAGCGGTATTTATAAATGGGAACATATACATGTACGTGCTTGGCCAGTCTTAAATGTTAGTTGAAGACCAACTGAGCACATATTTATTCTCATAGTACATCATTAAATCATTACCTCTATTCAACTAAAAGTCTGAAACATTGTTGAATTTGATAAGAGTTCATTTTGCACTTTGAAATAGAATCAGAAAATCAGGCCAAAATAAAATTTCACTGGTACTAAGAAGAACGTATGAAAACTTAAGATTTACAACCAGGAATATTGATAGCGTGATGAAATGGCACATATTGTGGAGGTAGAAATATATCTCTAGTGAGGTACTAGGGGCAAAATATCAAAGTGCATCACATTATAGGGACCACCCTACGTTGGGGATACATCAACAATATATGGAACTGGTGGTAAGGCATGGGCTGAATGCCACCATGGTGTGGCAACACAATATACCATTCATACTGCACATTTCTGCACTCCACTTACTCACCTGACATCCAGTGGGAACTTTGAGAACAGTATCTCAGCGACAGTGGGAAAGCTTGTGTGGAGCACATCAGCAGAGAGTTGCAACTCGGCACACAGGATAAAACAGACAGACACACTACCTTTCAGATTTGCACCAGTAATTGGTGTTATGCCGCCCTATAAAAGATAAAACCAACACATTGCTCCATTTTACTTCCACTTGAAGCATATCTCTCCGAAGCTTTTGGACGAAATAAAATTCAAATAAAGATGCACAATACCAATGTGGCCCGGTCCAGGACTACATAATTCAAACTTAGGTTTCTGTGTCTAAAGTTATGTGGAATTTACTAACATACAGGCACTGAAATCAAATCTAAATAGTATATTATACAGTCCTTTTTTTGGTCGCACAAGGCAATAAACATTTGACAATGAGCCACATCACAAAAATAGTGGACGATCAATCACTTCAGCTCGATACTAGAGTTGACATGCCACTCAAGGTTCAAACTCTGGCCCAAAAGACAAGCTTTCTTCTTCCACTTGCTTGACTGTCATTTACTTTTAAAATTCAGTGCCTCATAAAAAATGCATGCACTTCCCTACATACATATTGGCAGCAAATTTTCCCCCAAAGGTCTGACCCGACAAGAGTTGCACTGAAAGTTTAATCTTATTTGTAGCCTTTTTCCAATCCTACCTTTGCTTTCATGGAAATCACACTGAAGGATACTGGTATCTTCATGTCAAAGAAACCTCCCCCTGTAATTCCTGAAATAATCAAAAAATAACTGAATTAACTGAATAACTGAAAAGTGTAGCACAATTAACACAATTCTCCATGCTAACACGCACTCGTTAATTCAAACAACAGAGTCTATTTGGAATTCCCTTTAAAGACAGGGAGGTTTATTTCAAACTTTTTGTTTCTGGTGGAATAAATGTTTTGAAAATCATGTAGAACTCCTGCACTCAAGCTGTGTTTGCAGGACTTCTTTTGGTAAAACTTTTGGAGTCAGCTGTCAATTTGACAAAATTACATGTAATGCAGATAGCTGGTAAACTTTCTAAATTGTCAAGTGTTAATCAATGGTTGTTATTTTTCCCCTGGGCAGCAACATACGCGCATATGCAGACTAGCCTGGTTGGAAGAATTTTTCAGTTTTCTATGCATACAGCCACTGCAAAGTGAAATTTACATTTTGATCACATGATTTCCATCTCGGTCACTGAGCCAGTGCCTAGGCTGCCCCATTTTGCAAGTAAGCTGCTATTATGGACAGTATATACATGTACAAGAGCGTAAACAGTAATAATCAAATGCATGGTATCACATAAAACTCTCACTGTAGCGAATGCTATATGTGGTTAATACTTTGTTCACCATGTTGCAAAATGGGGAAACTTTTGGACACTGGCATGAAATGATTGAGTATAAAAGAACCAGCACGGTGTTATCACCTTGTTGAAATCATGCTTTCCATGTTTTTTAAAACCACATCCAATGTCAGATTTGAAGGTCACCTGCTGATACAAAATCACATGAATATGAATGGTAGACTATACACCTGTATAATCACGTGATGGAATATTAACAATAACTTGTGGTAACTCTTCGTAATTTTTTGTCCACTGCAAACACGGCTTCAGCTGCAGCAATACGTGAAAACCAATGATTACACCCAAAGACACTACTAACATCTAACAAAAGAAACACAGTTCACTGACAATGAGTGTCCATTGTTCTTGCACCGTGCTTCTTTTGTTAGATGCTCATAGTGAGAAAGGAGATGAAACAGCTAGCAACTAAATGTTTCATTTCTGCAGTCAGGGTACCAGTTTATCAGTCCTGGATCATTTTGTACTTGTTCTGTACACTGGCCTAGACCTCATTAGGAAAACGGTGCATCTGCAAAAGAATTACTGGCTTAGGATCATTAAGACTGCCACTCCTCCACAGGTGTTCTTATAGAAGCAAACTGTCACAGCCAATTTGGCACACTACCTTTAAATGAGGAGCTGGTGGAATACATTTGGCCCCCCAAAAGTTAAGAGAAACGCATGTAACAATACGTGCGACGTTAGCGTGCAGTAAGTACTGCTCAATTTAAGTGCTTCAAATGCAGCTCTACATGTAGCAAACAATCATTCTGTACATATTTATTCCAAGCTACAGTTTTGAGCATGACTGATGTGGCCATTACTTTATCTGCCTACAGACAAAGGTCTTGGAACATGCATGAAGTCACTTTGTAGTAAGACGCCAAACGGCTAATGAATAAATTTCCATCTCAACCTGATGAGCTACTACTGAAGAAAATAAAAGGCTACTTACTGAAAACTAAAGTGATGAATCCACCAATCGGTAATGCCCACTCCAATTCAAACAAATTGGCATGTCTCTTGGGGAAGGGAATGGTTCCACTGAGGACAACGTCAAACTGCTCAAAGCTGTTCCCTGCCTTGCCATTTTTGAAAACGTCGATGGCCTCTTCCATCTGCTCAATGAAACAAAACATTGTACAAAATCATATCTCAAAACCTTAAGACAGGTTTGCATAAATGCTGCAGGAAACTGTTTTGCTGTAGAGACCATATATCTCAGAAATGTGGCTTAATTGGGATTTAAAGTGTGGGAAACCTTCATGACCTACTGGGTAAGAGGCTTGAGGCCTGTTCGAAATATCAAAGATTCAACATCAGCTAACTATTTGAATAGCTTTGTATGAGTTCGAATATTCACCAAAAAATTGAAAAATTCTTTATTTTCTTTTGTAGTTGCTTTATTGATTTGCTGGTATATCAAGACAAAAAACCACTACATTAGGTACTACATGGGCCTTGTGCTTTCACAGAGCAGTGTAAATATACTACACTACAACATGCCACTTTTTGTCAATATTTTTGCTAAATGGCGGTTTATCATTCCCATCCTTTGAGGGATTTATGCCCATGTTGGCAAGTTTCAAAATTCCTATATTCCATTAAGAGCAGTTTCGAATTTTGAATACTGAATTATTCGAAAAAGAACAACCCTATAGGTTTTATAAGAACAAGTCCAGGACGGCAAATGAAATCTAAATCAAAGCCTGGCAACATTTTTTTCCAAAAGGTTAAGTGATTTGGTAAGGACTGATCTTAATATTATCCATGAAAAGGACAGCAAATATACAAATTATCATAGTACATGCATACCGAGTGAAAAAAATCAAGTCATCCACCAAACACCCAAAGCACAATGTGTATTAGAAGTAAATGCTACCTTATGCTCACCATGTTCAAAATTCCTCAATACGTTCTCTTTTCGCATAATCATGCTTATTAAACAAACCTGTGACTTTGGAATTCCACCAGTGTGAGAAACCAAAGACTTCAACACAGGTTGAACAATGGTAAAGTTGATTTGAAGTCTTTGGAAACTGCTCAAAGAAATAGGAAATCAGACTTACAAAGGTCTTGTAGAGAGCACGTAGGTCTTTCATCAGCTGAACCACAGTGACCGGGTCAATGTTCTGAAGATCCAGCATTGCTTCCAACTCCCCGATGGTCATGTTGGCAATGTGACCACCAAGAGCATCAAGACCCTTCTCTGTTGAAGGTCATGGTTTAACAAAATTCTATCACATTCCATTATGGATGTGGAAGGAGTTACAACAGGGTTTGGAAGAATTGTAATCTACAGTCTCCATTTGTTTTGGATTAATGCAACATATTCCACTCTACATTTAACTTCACTCATCAGTTTCCATACTGCCATGCCCCAATTATCCACAATTTNAAAAGAAGCCAAAGCAAAGCTCGACACAGACAGCAGAATTTACAATCTGCCAATAGTCTCAATAGAAGATCATGAATTATTCATTTTAAATGTCAACAATTTTACACAGGCAATGTTTGTAAGCCACCAGATTCTACACCAGGGGTACAGATAGACTTCTGTTCTGTTGAGCATACACAGGAGGCCATCTAAAGTGTTGCACGACCTTTCTCTGCACAGAGTTGCAACTGTTGTGTTGTCATACACACAATTAAGTGCACATGTCATAGTAGTGTGTGAATTATGACTGACTCCATGTGATCCTTTTTATAAGAGTTCCACCAGTCTTCAGCTGATTGATAGGCCACATGTGATGACGTGTCTGTCAGTACTCTACATGTATACAGTCCAAGACACGCAAGCTTGCAGGTTTGGGAAGCCATCACTCAAGTTATAACATGTCAAATAAATACGGACAATATACACACGTGTTAATCCTCCACCAATGATGAAATTTCCCTGCCATGTACCAGAATCAGCGTCAGGAGCAAGATTAAGGCTGAACAAGTTAGCTCCATCTGGGAAGGAAAAACAGACCATCAGATAAACCACTCACTTTACTTGATAAGCATTTCTACACTCCGTGGATTTTACCTGACCTTTGAAAAGTGAATCTTACAATGATTGAGAGCCGAGTTCTCAACGGTCCACTCGCCATTACGTGCAAGTTGCTAGTTTTGCTGTTTATCAGGCATGCACGTAAAGATCCACAAACAAGTTCTTTTGGCTTCACCTCGAGAACCATTATGTACATTTCCAATGCATAGGTGAACTGAAATCAACTATCTATCCTCAAACCGTGCTGTATTTGTATGATCATTACTCAGTATAAATTCACTCGTCTTTCTCTACGTTACCTGAAGTATTCGAGAGAGAGAGGTCCCTTCTCCTTCTTGTGACAGGAGTTTCATCTTCATTACCAAAGATGAGTAGCCCCATGGAGCGACGACTTGCTGTGCCGGATTCAGAAACCCCTGCAATAGCAAAAACACAACTACAAGTAGATCCAAGTTCTCATTGAAAAATCCCCAAATTTGACAGTTCTACCTAGCTTCGCAAAAGAGCATTCAAACTATACTAAGCTGATACTTGGAAATTCAGGGGCTCACAATTTGTTATTTGCATAATAATAAGAGATGGTTTGTCTGACAACAAAATTTCACACTTTCTGCAGAGAACAAACAAACAAACTTACATGATGCCACTAAATATTTTGATAGCATCAAGTTACTGGAGCACCGGACCAGCACCCCAAGTGTCTTGTTATCAATACTTTTGTTTAGTCCTTCTGAGAGCACACAAGATCACACCACTACATCAGAAGCTGAGGTCGAGTTCAGGTGGCCTGTTCTTGACACGAGTTTTGTGTTCTCGCGCTCGAACGGCGGGAACATGACCCAAGAACACTGTTCTCAGAACAGGTTCACACACCATCTTCTCGTCAGGGTTTTACACGAACACATGGAAAAACTTGTCAGATTTGATTTTTGAAAAGCTGCAAAAACTATCGAGATGGCTTACAAAGCTGGAAATAATGGAAAGTTTTCCAAAACTAACAATAATTTTCCAAGACAGAAATGGTTTTTAATGGAAAAGAAGTTAGCCCAATTATCCAAACATTAACTCTCAAAGAATGCACAAGGACGCTGCCATGTTGCTTGCATGCTACAAATAACTAGTAGGGGGCCTACCGATAACCGGTTGTACGTTCCCGGTGTTCAAGCGGCCGACCCATGAAAAACAAATCGAGCTATTCATGAACATACGAGAACAAGCTGCCTGAACTCAGCCTAAGCTTCATATTGGGAAGGCAGGAACCACCTTTAAAAAGGACACAAGGGCCCTTTCCTTTGGCATGAAATAATGCCAGACCCTTACTCAGGGAAAAACACAAGGTTTAAACAAATCACTTGCAAAAAAATTACTTCTGGAAAGAAGCAGTGAATGTAACTGTATGTGCCTTATGCTCCAGTATTATAGTTAGATGTATGTATACATGTAAATGGCAAATAAACATAATTTTTCTTCTTGTTATTTGACATTCCCATCCTATAACTTCCTTCCTCAATGAAACTGTTTATATTTAAATAAAGGATTTAAGTGTTCATTAATAAGGAACCTTCCCTTGAATGAGGTTTTGCTGCCACCAGGTATCCTCCAGTAATCCTCATCATCCTGTGTCTCATGCTATTTGTTTCCTTCTTTTCATTTGTTCATTCATTTGTTATGATGCATGGAAATAGAAAAAAATCAAATCAAAGTTAATCTAAATTCCACACAAAATGGATAGATCGACTCACTTGGTTTAACCGCTTTTTCTGGCTGAAGCATTGTCATGGCATTCTTCTCTGCTGAGTACACGGTGGAACCGTTCTTAAGAAGGGCCCTAAAGTAATCCCTGGCTTTGTCTATTGGATTGATTGTCATGTCTTCCATGCTGTCCATGCTCTCAGCAAATTCACTAGAGTTATGAATAGAACAAAGAAATCAAAAGATAAAAAATGAACAATGAAAACAATTTGAATCAGGCAGTGAAAACTGTGTAAGCACAAGTAGTTGTAGATCTCTTGGGACCCAACGACACTCTAGCAAAAGAAATGTTTTGAAAACTTCCCCAACAATGATGTCCGTGAACAATCTTCATTTCCTAAGACACTGCAACAATTTCACCAAACTAAGTTAGTAAAAAAGTGGTAATTTGGCAAAAAGAATGAAAAAACTGACTTTTTAAAAACCAAATCTTTAATAATTGATAACTTTACAAAACGAGGTTACGTCTGGTCTAAGGTCATTTCAGAAGAGCGGCAAAAAGAATAAATAACATGAACTTGGAAAATGGTTCCAAGACCTTCCTTCAGGTGAAAGTGATGCAGCAGTTAATTCGAACTTTGAGCCAATTTAGCTATTTCCTCAAACTGACACTTACATCATGAATTTTCATCTAACATTTCAGCACAGGGGTTAATAGCAAAAGCAAATGCATTTTCCAGACTCACAGGTCCTCCACACTTCGTCTCTTTCTCCTAGAGCTGCTGCCCCCATCACAACCGGACGTTGAAAACATCACATCCTGAAGAATAACGATGGGGTTCTCACACACACCCTGCCAGCACAAGCTGATGTCCAGATGCACATCATAGACAGTGCTGTGAGGGCGCTGCACATCATACCTACATATTATGCAACAAAGTGGTT